AACATTTTGGATGAGAGGCGAAAAAAAAACTTAAAGAAGACCATTTATTTTATTTTACAATGACCTGGGTGGGCAGTACAATGGCAAGTGTTTCATTGTATACTCTGTTGTAATAGCAAAATAAGCTATATCTGATTTAAAGAATTCAATTTTCTAAAAGCAGCCATCACTGATGGGGTTCATTTTATACTCCTGTAAGTTTTTAAAGTTTTGTGTAATGTTTCGGGTGAATGTTTGGTGGCTTTCACACAGTGCCATTCAGGACAGGATGAGTTACAGTCATACATTTTTATTTTATTATAGTTTTATTGGATGATGTGAAAATGTGCTCCAATACTGGACTTGATAACAAAGCTGGTACATGTGCAAAAAACCAAACAAACAAAAATCAACCCCCACAATAAACAGCATACTATAACAGACTCCTCAATTCCCGTCAAAACACGGCTTCCCTATTTAATCACAAGGCAGCTTTAAGACAAACTCCTCTACTTAACACAGATGTAAACTTGTACAACCTACACTGAGCATGTTTCCTGTTAGTGATCAGTTTCAGACAAGAACACGTAAATTTAGACCAGACAGGAAGTAATTACTATTACATTAGACATCTGCTTTCAGTATCTTAGTGTTAACTACTTAAAGCAGTTGTCAGTACTCAATATCATCTCATTAAGAATTCCAACCAAATATTGAACTCTCTTTGTCCATCTCAAAATCATTTGATTCATTCCTGTTCTGCATTCAGGTGAATATTTTATATCCTTCATTTTTTTTTTTTTTTTTGAAAATAATCTTTTTCGCAGATTGTGCTAAACCTCAACACTGAAATCATGGAAAAAGAAGAAAACATTAGCAAGACTGTTACCACTTTTTCTATTAAGACAGCTGATATGGAGACTTCAGAAGGCAAGATGAAAAGCTAAACTTTAACATATAAAAATCAAAATGGATCTAAAAGTGACATGACAATGATGCCATGAAAACAAACAAAAAAGTATGCAAAGAGTAAGTTGGTTTTGTGTAGCAGAAACAAAGAGAAAGATACAATTGATTCGGAAATGTGTGCACAACCTGCCATGGACTGACAACCTGTCCAGGATGTACACCACGTTTACCTCTACGAAAAGCCCTGCTTGAGAAATAGATGGATGTATGAGATGCATGTGTACATATTTTTTTTTTACTGAATATGGAAATGAATTTCAGTATTTTAGTATTTGAGATAATTTTTTTAATCATCAATAAAGGATAATTTAAAACTTTTATCGTGTGCACTTCGTCTTATTTCTTCAAAGCATGTGATTAATCATTTAAAATAAAATTTTAGTGGAAAAACCTTAAAAAGCTCACCATAAGAAACTCTGACCAGCAGCACCAGCAGTCCCACCACAGCTTTCATG